ACAGCTTTTTACAAATCAGCGACGCACATTCAAGAAGGGACCTCGATGACCAAAAGTATGCACCCAGCTACATTAACTCATTGAAGCCTTCTTGCCACATGCATATTGTCTTTTCAAAAAATTGCCTTACGACTTCAACCAGAGAATGTTTCGTTCAGAGGTTCAAGAAGGAATCTAAACAATACAATACATGCGTGCTTGCGAAACTAAACTTGCTTGCACTTTCTTATTTCGTTTGGCATGTTTAATTTTGCTCAAATGCTCTGATCAAACCAATTTATTGCAATTCAGGAACCGCTGTCTGCGGAGGATCAACTAGCAGCAGATCAAGTGAGCTACTCCTCTCAAATAGTTAATTCTATATATTTGCGCGTGAATATGAAACAAAGACGTTGGTAACAATTCTAATACCAGTAAAACGATTTAAAAGCATTCAAAAGGTTCGATGCCACTTCCTGTATATATGGAGAGATTATGAATATGCCTAAACGCGGGAATAATGTTTAAATATATAGATGTGAAGATTTGGCTTTGTCACGATCACTTAACCTGGTTCCATTAAACCGTAATTAGTAATTGAGTACTACAATAAATGAAAATTTTGATATAATTAACAGCCATTTAAACAACAGGAGAGATGGGTGGCGATGCAAAAATGCTGATTTTAGTCTCGGCCGCGTTGGAATTTGGAATCATAGTATTGGGTAAGAGGTATGTCGTGCAGCAATTCACAGTTTCCATAGGAAAATAATGAAGGGGTGGAAGGGGCGAAAAATTCCTAGCTCGCTCAATCACAGCAACGCAACCGAATTCCTAGCCTCCAAGGTTTTGCATTAAATTTCCTACAATCCAATGACTTCTTCGGCAGGTAATCAGTCTGGCGAAATGGACTGCCTCTTGCAATATGTCACAAGTCTATCTCTTGCACAATGTGCGCCGAAGGTAACGTGAGTCTTTTATATTGAATGAAACATCGCATTCATTTGTATTAGGATGTCACGCCAGACTGATTCGGCTTGATAACTACGTCCGAGGAATCATAGTCCTGGGAATGAAGTCTACTTAATGAAAGAGTAATGGATCGTTCTATTCCGTTCCCATAGGGTTCTCGGAGTAACCCATTGCACCGCACGCTACGGCAATGTGTACCAATTGATTAAAATATTTGGAAGCTTTCCGGGTATGCACGTTGGATCCAAAGGACGACATGTCCATCTGGACTTGAAGATTGCTGCAAACACTCAGCGCTCAATTGTATCTAATAATAGCCAAAAGGATGGCTTTGTAGCAAAAAAAATAAAATAGGCGCCCAATGTGAACAGGATAGATACCAACTATGGACCGTGCGCATGCAGTGCATGCTGTCGCTTGAAGGCTCATTTGGCAACATTGTCATGATGCTGTAACTACTAAGTCTTGGGATGAATGGAAATCTGTAATATCGTAGATTGAATGAATTGCTGATGCCAACAATGCGATCGATCTGTCACACATCAAAGCCAAGCAAATTTTTGATCTGCTCTCCAGGCTCTCCTCGACTTGGCGATTTCCGCAGAGAGTCCGTCGACGGAGGCGATGGTCCAGGAATTGCTGTCCAAAGGCGCCAACCCGAACGCCCGCAAAAAGAGCGAGCACGCCCTGCACCTCACGGCCTTCGTTGACAACGGCATTGTTGCTGGTGCCTTGCAGCGGTGGACGACGGCGAGCGCGTGATGGCATCCTCATCGGCTTGGCGGGGCAAGCACGTCACGAGTGCGCCGCTACTACGCGGACCAGTCCGCCCTGAGGGTGGCGGACGTACTGCTGAGGTCTGGGGCGGACATAGACACGATGGATCTCGAGGGAAAGCTCGCGTTGCACCTGGCGTCTGAGAAGGGGATGGTGAAGCTGGTGGAGTTCCTGTTGTCCAGGGGGGCGAACTACTGCTTGCAAGATGACGGGTGCTTTGTCCCGTCGCAAGTGGCCTGCTGGAAGGCCGCGTGCACAAAAGCGGAGAGGGAAGAAATAACTGACATGCTTAGCGTTGAGTCCCTTATGAAGCGCTGCTTTCCGCTTATTACTTGCGAGGAGCCGGAACCGCCGCCGCCGCCGCCGCCGCCGCCGAGGCATTTTGCATGCAACGGATGCACGTTTCATAATGGGTCGCTGATGGTGTGTGCGCTCTTGATTTTACTTTGTTTTCTAATCTGAGCCCACAGCATGTGTTAGGAAATGGAACCGCAATTTTGTTGTAACGCACTGGAGGATACTATTATATGTCAATATGCCACTGTGTGCTGATGCTTAACATGGTTGTCGTTTTTTTGCACATAAAACGCCTACAACTGCCGAAATGGCCACCATTGCTAAAAAAACATGTTATGTTGAGCGATTCGCCATCCTTGCACGGCATAACAATGAAAGTGTAGAGGGGCAACTTTGCCGCGCTATGAGCAAAGGCGCATGTAGAAATTTCCTAAATATTAATTGGAAATCCCAAACTCGACTAAACATGTGTCATTTTGTCAGATCAAACGCCTGCCAGTGGCACAAGAAATCCAAGAGGTTTGTTGCAGATTGCGCAATTCTGTTCGCTGCTTGTTACAAAGCAGGTGAAAAGGCCTTATGGGACAGAGGTGGCCCAAATTGACACAACGAGAGCACCGCCATCCACGGAAAAACGGCATGGTAGGATCAAGATAGATGAAGCCAGAAACTGTGGTCCTTTCTAGCCGTTGTCAATGTGTGCAGATTCATCATGCCATGTCACATGGGTCCAACGTTGTTCGCTTCCGGCTGCACTGGATCAGCGCCCCTCCCCCTTCCCCCCCCCCCCCCACACCACACCACACCACCCACCCACCCACTTCACACACAGTCCTGAATCCTGCAGTCCTATGTCGCCAAAGTCAGCAACCAGTTGACGCAGGTGTTAGACATCTCCAAACAGCCACCATCATCTGCCATTCGCCCACCCCTCGAGTGTGTCAAAAGTCCAAGAGCACAACATTTGTTATGCCTCGTAAGTAATTGGGAGCTCGCGGTCTCCAGGTGTCCCACTCAGCCTTGTCCACGCGATTATCGCTGATGAATTCCAACAGTTGGTTCCCACACATTCCCACGGTCTGTGTCCAAACTACTGTGTTGGCACCTGCGCTATAGACACGCGATGGTCAGAATCTCAAGGCAGCCTAAGCGCAGTTGGAAAGCTTGCAAAACTTTTGTAACTATAATTTAAATGATTGATTAAAACTTCGCAAGATGGGCAAATTTTTATCAAGCGCAGGCAGACCCCAAGCTGCTGGAACGCACTCGGCCACGGAAAGCCGTCAGGACGGGAGACGTCGTCTGCCCGACGTTTCTTCCCGCCTGTGGCCGTTCCCCACCGACCAAGGCCAGTTGACCAGCAAGCTGTCAGATACTGACGTTACGTAACGCTCCCATGTGTTGCCGCTGCAGCCTGGCGGAAGTCCTCCTGCATGGGCCCCTCCGACTTTGAGAGAAAGCCTCCGCTCTACAACTGGGTCCACTCTGCAGGTGGGGAATGACAGTGGTGTAGCAAGGCCTCGCAAAAGGCGGATTAAGGGGCGTCCTAGAGGACAGCACTACAGCGAGGCGGACACCATGCGCGTACCACTCTTAGAAATTGCAACTCTTGTGTAATGCTAAGTGTTGCTAAGAATAACGTTCACGAAATGGAACACTAAGTTTTGCCAAGTAATAAAGTTACTGAGTCTGTTGGAGGAAGGGCGTGGGGTGGTAGGCGAGGCTCTGTTGGGAAGGGGCTGAGGAAGCTCGGCGGTTGCTGGCTCTGTTAGTAATAGCGTCCGCCACAGTTTTGACAATACTCCGGAGTATCATCAAACACTGGGCGTTGGGGCCGGCTGCTTGAGTGTACCTTTCAAGTGTGCGCACCCTGGCCAAACCGTTCAACGCAAGCCGTCTTTACTGCTCTCAAGGGCCGCCACCCGTGCAAAGTGGCAAATATGCAGCAGCTTGTGCGGTTTGGGAGGATGCTCATCCCATACATCTAACTGCAGGCCGGCGCGTTGTCAGGTCTGGAACTGCAAGCAGCTCATGAGCATGGGGAACACCTGCGAGACGCCAGAGGGGACATTGGGCAAAATGATATGAACGGGTTGCCCGCTTTCGCGGGTGAAAATAGCTCCAAAGCGCAGCTGGCCATGCACGAGCTGGCGCCAGTTTGATACGTTCCAACCTGTCGCCACAAAATTTTCAGATGCTTCACGCAAAACACAGCAACTCAACGACACAGGCGACTCAATGCTGACGCTTTGCTGGCGTACATTATTGCTGGTGTTTTGCTGGTGTATTTGCGCTGTGTTTCGTTCGGGAAAGTTTTGATCAGCACACCGCCATGCGCCCCATACATGCGGGACTTGCGCAGCAAGATGCGCACACTGTTTGGCGGGGATTGAGTCGAACACAGACGGTACGCGGAATGCACCGGCGTTACTGACCCATGCGCACACGTGCACGAACCTTTTGGGTAGGAGCCGGCGCAGTTTGGGTGGAACACGGACATCTAGTTAGCATACGAGTTTGTCCTTCCTTCAAAGCGCCTCGTGGCCTTTGACGTCACCGAATGCTAGGATGGCGTTGCGAGTATCAACAGCTTCGGCAGGCAGTAGCGGTGGTTTCTGCCCAGCGGTGCCGGCGGACAAAACGCACTGCTGTCCTTTTCGAGGCACAGAAAACAGGTTACATGCAAACAACAGATACATCTGCGAACACCATGCAACCGCATCGGAAACCCGACAAGGCAAGTGCCACGCGCCACGCGTGCAAACGGTTTCTGTCAATTGCCGCCATTGCCTGCGATCGCTTCACCAACCGCTTTCCACCAGAAAAAAATCTGCATACCGGAAAACACAAACCGAAAGCCGGTCCCACACACGCAACGGGCGTCACGTGCACAGACCGTCGATGCCCGTCGTCCCCTCCCCAGGTGCGAGGGCCTTGTTTTGTCACGCGTCTTTGACCAATGTGAACGACGGAATTCACGCGCACAGGCTGTCGATTAGCCAATTGAAGTGGGCGCGCAGCTGCCTGGCCGCCGGGAACCTTAGGTCCCTGGGCACCCCCACGCGGTCGCGCACGTACATCGCCGCGTACACCGGCGCCAGGCCCTCCGCGCTGCCCGGCCCGTCCGCCAGCCTCAGCGCCGCCCCCGACGCCTGCTTCTCCTCCACGCCCACCAGCAGGGCGTGGGCCACATGGCGAAAACCAGCATCCACTCTATCCCTTCCCCACTCCCCTGGCCTGGCCGATGGATCTGCCAATGGCGCCCATACGGGGACATCTCCAGGCTCCCCGGTGGCCCGCATCCCGAATCGAATCACGTCGGCGTGGTTGCCGACCAGGCGGGCGGCGGCCTCGAGGCGATCGAGGGAGGGATCGTCACCCGGGGAGTAGGGCTCGGGGGAGGAGGTGGAGGAGAGGGGGGGCAGGGGCAGGCGCCAGGCGCCGCCGTCCACGGCCGCCGCCACGGGCTCGCCCTCCTTGATCATGGTGCAGCCGCCAAGCTGGGGTGGCAGCGCGTGGGCGTGGGTGTAGTAGTCCGACCTGGGGGGTATGGGGTGAGATTTGTTACAGAGAGTGAAGCAACAGGTCACGCAAAGAAGAAGATTTCCAACGCATGGTGTCACAGGCAAAATGTGCATGTCACCATCCGGGCAAAAACCCGCAATACATGACCCATCAGAATGTGTCATGGCTACGGAGGCCATACAAAGGGCACCCCCTGCTAAGCAAGCGAATGCGAAGCTCCTTTCCACGCTGCTCAAAGATGATATGGAGCATCCAATGCATAATGGGGAGCACACAACGCAACTGGGGGCAGGGAGGGTGCTGGGTCGGGTGGGAAAACAGGCCAAGCACAGGATTCTTGGACAGTCTGATTCAGCGAAATTTTGCTAAACACTTTAAAGCGTTTAGCTCGCTGCACCTTCAAGGCGATGGTGGGCGTGTCTCCAGGTTGTACACGTGCTTCAACGATACATTGCTGTCTTTAGTAATTAGCATTTATGGGTCTAGCTACGCTCTGGGGAGGAATAGCCAACCCAATGGAGACCTGATGCTTTCTAGTGCGCATACTCCACCTAACAGCAAGGCAATGCCCGCAACAGTGCTCGATCGACAGACACTTTAAGACACTGTAGCAAGTGGCTAGTTATTGCAATCTGAGATGTGCGGATGTGCCACAACAGCCAAGGTGGGAGCCCAGATGTGTCTTCCACATCTCTGACAGAATGGGGCTTAGCAAGGAAACAAAACCGTGTTTCGTTGGTTTTCTGCTTTGAGGCAAACAGCGGACTGTGATGCAGGAAAAACACTGAAGCATCGAACAAATGGAATAAGCAGAGTAAAGGCAAAAGCAGAAGATACAAAGGAACCCAGGAATTCCAAAAGATCAAGAACACATAGTATCTATCCTCTTCCTGTCCATTAGTTTGTCAGTGACAGTTGGAGTGAGCTTCAACTGACCACTGCAAGCGGCAGGTAGCAGAAGACGGTTTTCAACTGAATTTGATATTGGACCTTGGATCTGGGATTGGGTTTCTGATGAGAGCGCAACTTAATCACCACCAATACAAAGCTGTATTCCATCTTGTGAATGCTTGCATTTTATCGAGCAGGGTTGGTTATTGCTCTGTTTGTTGGTAGTTCAAAAGAACCTTGTCGTTTCCCACAGCCAGACTGCCGAATAACGGCACTGGCACGCAGGGAATATGCTACATGCTTTCTCTCCTGCTCCTTTCATTGCTTGACGAAAATGAGCTGCAAAGCTGCCCTGAATAGTGACAAAGACCCACATGATTTCAACCATGACTGGGTTGGCACCTCGTCTTCTGTGGACAAAGCAATGAATTCAAAACCAAAACATCATTTGCATACCTGGTAGCCAGGTACGCTGGCCTGGTCTCCATCTCGTCAAACCAACGCTCCAGCGCCGGCCACTGCCCCGTGCCACGCATCTTCAGTCCCTTGTAATACGCCAGTGAGGCGGCCATCCTCTCAAGGAAAGGCGCAAAGGTGACGTCCACCAAACTGAAGTCAGCGCCAAGGAAATAAGGGCCACCAGAAGATTTGAGGGCAGCTTCTACCTCATCCAGGGTCGACTCGAACTGTCGTCTGAGGCCCGCTTGGCCCCAGTTGTTGCACAGGAACTGGCACCAAGCAGAGAAGATTTTCCTCTCCAGTCGGAGGAGGGCATTGACCTTTTGTCGGTCAGATCCTTCAGGGGGGAGTAGTGGTGTTTCAGGGAATTCGCGCTCCAGGAGCTGAGAAACAAAAGACAATTGGCCAGCTGGTAAGCCAGCATGTTGATTGAGCAGAATGTGTGAGCCCTCTGTTTGAACACTGTCAAGAGCTGCCTGAGCAATATATATTATATAACAGGGGAAGACATTCCAAAGCAGTGTTTGAATGTGCCAATGCATATGAAGCCAGTGTTGAGCCCTGCAAAGCAGCGTTTGCCCACAAGATGCCCTTCCAACACTCCATACAGCTCCTGCCAAAGTACAGGGAGCGCGCCCTGAATAGCCTGTGTTTAATAGACTGTGCTATGAGTACAATGCAAAACACCATGGTGTGATTTCATTGTCATTTAGCACTTTGGATCAAGGCGATCTAAGGCAATCTGAAAGTAATCTTGGATGTGCACAAGCGCCTGGGTTGCGCATCAAAGAGCGGCACTGCCAGAAGGGAGCAATGCATTGTAAACATTAAAGCGCAGTGATCAAAGGATTCGCTTCTTTCATCAGTGCCCCTGATGCTTACATTCCCAGAATTAATATGGTCAGAATCGCCTAGTGCATTGTCAGATGAGGGAGAATTAACTATTGACCAACCGCCAGGGATGAGAATTTGGGGTTTGCGGTGGGCATGAATCCAGTGCAGTACTGGCTGCATTTTCCTTTTTGATCCCATTCATCGGCCCTTTCACGGTCATAACGATCGCGTTCTGGACATTGCGTGGGCAGCAACGTGCCCGATATCAGCAACTCTGCACAGGCTGTGCTTTGAAAGCTTGCGACGAAAGCGATCAACTGAGTTAAGCTCCTCGCTCCCCTGAAAAATTATGCATGGATATCGCTGCCACCTGTGCTTCTTGCACCAAAGCAAGGACCGAAACGCGCACACAATCTTTGAAGTGATACCCAGGATCTATCCAAAATGTCTAGGGTGTTCTCCAGGAGCTCATCAGCAAGCTCAAACAACAAGTGCCTCTCAAAAACAAGCTTCAACGATTGAGTGCTTCAGCAACACAATCAACCACAATATCAGCAATTTATATTTAGATAATCGCTACAGCTATGTAATACTTACCAATTCTCGATTAAGCAGTTTAGCAGTGTATATATTGTTCAAAATAGAGATTGCACCACACAATTGTGTATCAGTGTGAATCACCTTGGCGATTTCGATCGACTCTGTGACCACCTTCCCATCGAACTCCATCACTGGCAGCAGTCCTGCTGACGTTATACGCAGGAAGGACTCTGGCTTCTCTCCGTAGCACCGCATGTTGATCTTCTCAAGCACATAAGGTATCCTCTTCTCCTCAAGCTGCATCCAAACCTTCTGGCAATATGGGCACCACGCGGCATGGTCTCTGTAGGGGTCCAGCGCCTTTGTCAATGTCCACATTTATGTTCAAGCATTCAGTTATTTGGCATTTCCAGGCGCCTGCTTCTGCCATTGGACATTGCCAGGAATCCTCATTGTCAATCACCCCATGATCATTTCCGTACACGTACCAGTGAAATAGTTTCTCAACAATTTACTGCTATGTGTACAGAATTGACAAAATCAGCACCTACTTCGCCACAAGACGATGGACGCAAATTGTGCAAGCAGACTTTGCTATCTATTCCTGTTCATGACAAGAAAAGAAGTGCAAGCATGTGTCCATGAATGCCAACAACTTGGACACATTCTCCTGGGTTTCAGCGCACGGATTTTTGTCAGCACTGCATGCATGGGGTACCAGTTGATGCTTGCGCAGTGGGGAGCTATGGCCTGGCTACCGATTTCCTATGTGGATTGGCAGCATTGCTAGAAAATGGGACGAGACATGAGATTGCTTTTCTTTGGGAGATGGGAAGGGTTTCGTGATTCGGGGGGGAGGGGATTCCTTGTGACACTGAACAAACAATGCGATACGATTAGAAGCATTGCTCTAGAACTCATGGCCAACATCGTCTTTAAGGTGCAAGGGCAGTGTTTTGTCAAGTTTGTGTGACAAATGAAATCACAGGATTTGAGGAAGGCGGGTTTGAGTGGTGTGAAGCAGGAGTTCCCATTTTGGTGCAACCGTTGCACGTCATGTTTGGCAGGTTGTACAAACGGAGACTGCTGAACATCAAAGGATCCTTTACTGGGCCACACCGTTTGGGCAGGCTCTAGAAGCAGAGTCTGCTGACCCTCAATCGATCCATTTAAACAGTCACTCAAGGATGCATGAACTCCTGCTCCTTCGGGCGAGCGTGCAGGGGTCGGGGGCTTCCCAATGTGTCTCGTTTCGTCCCCATTAACAGAAGGAGGCAACACAATGCAAAAACTGCTCCAAACAGCGTTTCGTCACGACGGCGCACAGCCATGCGTCGCGCACATTGCCCCCAGAGGCTGCCCAAACAACAGCCCACAGCGAGTCGCACGCTCTGCGGGGCAGCCCACCTGTACAGCTTGATCCGGGGCGGCCCCTCCTGCCCGAACATCCGCCTCATGGCCATCGGGTTGGGCGGCCCCGTCTCCAAATCCACCTCAGGCACATCCAACTCCCTGCGCCGCGCCGCCACCATGCCCGCCAACTCCTCCCACGACGGCGCGTTGTCCTCGAAAGACGGCGCCGCATCGCGCTGCGGCTCGCCCGATTGCCCACCCGCGGGATCCGCGGAGATCATCTTCCCCAGGTCCGCCAGCATGTCCGAGAAGCCGGCGGGGATGCGGGTTGGAGGGAGGGGAGGGGGATGCGCACGGCGCGGGCGGGGCCTGGGGGCGGGGAGGGGCGACTCGGCGAGGGGCGCACGGACAGGGGGCGCCGGACGCGAGAGGTTGGCGCCGCTGGCGTGGGCCATGACGCCCGCGCGTTTGGGTGGCGGGAGGCAGCCCGCCCGGTTGTGGGGATTTCGGCCAGTTTCGTGGCTGGCTTTCTGCTGATACGTCTTTTTACGTGATTTTACGTCATGTCCCACGTCATTTTCGCTTTGCTCTGTCGGTGCTTGGATTTTTCGTGGACTCTCGGTGTTATTGTAACTAGAGCTCATAGAGTATTATCAACAGCTGGACGCACAAGGAGGTGATGAGGCATTAGGAATAGAATTTTTGGACTACGCTCAAGAGACTGGATACAAAAAAAGGACGGAATTCCTGTTGTCCCTTTACTCCGCTGTACATTGTTGCCGTGTACTTGAGCCTACGGTCCCCAGCCATGGGTCGTCACCCTTCTACCCTGCCTGCCTTCGTCAGTGCTTTCTTGGATCCTAGCCTGGATGCTCAAGGGAACATTCGTCGAGCCGTGTTTTCCCGACCGGAACCGCCAATTCCACTTTCCACTGCACACAACTCTCATATGGACAGCTCTTTGCCAGTTCGCTTTGGGGCAGAGAATTGCAGCGTTTACCGTCACATCATGCTGTACTGCCAGTCCTCACCGACCCACACCACAAGTACATCTGCTTGTCCATCTGTGGCTGGCAAAAGCTGCCCCAGGTCGCAAGAGGAGGCGCTGCAAGGCCACGAGTATGGCGTGAGAAGCGCTCGTGCGAATTTGCTGAAGCGAACCGCATTGCAGTCGACAAGGCCGCAGGCGCGACAGCCACTAAATGTATTGGCCAGGTTCCTCCGGGCCAGAATACTGATGTGAATATTGACATCTGACAGGTGAGATGGGAGCAACTTTGTCTGAATGGTAACCCAAGGCACCGGCAGATTGGATCGCCCTGAAGGTGTGTGGCGACCAGTGGTGCCGAAATCAAACTGGGTTAAGCTGTTCCAAATGCCTGTGACCGCTATTTAGTCTGCATGGATGACACTACCGCTATGTACCAGCAGAAGCAAACAGAGAGGACTAGCTGATTGAGGTCACCATGCCCACCCTCTACAATGCCCTGCTACAAATGTCGACGTCCCCCCACACAAGAATCGTTGCTCCGTGTGAAAGTCAGGGCTTCTGTTGGGGTGAGCCGCCAACGCGCCTCCACCACCCTTGCGTTGCTGGCTCCGCTTCCCAAGCGACTTCGACGGTAATCAATGGCTCATGGTGTGCGTGGCTTCCAAGCGGGGTGCGAATCGTATTTTGCCGCGCCGTCAAATTCCACCAATACTTTTAGGCGTTGCGCACACGAAGTCCTTTGCCGTAGTACAAGATTCTGAAACAAGGCATTGAGACGTGGCAGTGGATGATTGGAATGCATAATGTACTGAAAGGAACGTGCCAGTGCCGAATGAATGCCCCCAGTGCCATCAAGAAATCCCGTGCCAAACACCGTTTGGCAAACAGTGCGTCACACACAAGAGTAATAAAGACCACGCGTGAGCAAGAGCCAGCCCTCAGGTACAGCAGAGGCACAGCACAACGGACTCAGTGTGTTGCGAACACACATTGCAGGGCCGCAGTCCACAGTGCAGATGACGCCCTCCGCCAATCAGTAGCTTAAAAAGGTGTCAAGGAATGGGAATGAGTACGTGCGTCGTTGAGTTGCCATGGGTACCTATGGGGACTAGGGACAGGATGCCTATCGTGTACAATGCAAGCTCTACGTGCAAAAATTCGGCATTCCCGCTGCCTTTGAGAACCGCACAGAAGCCTGTGACTGTGGCCATCAATCAACTAGCGACACGAAGCATGTTGTGCGGGAACTATGCTTTCCAATGGAATGCCAAGACCCGCTCAAGACAGCCAGAATGGGCAGGCCCAAGTATCTAAGTTGTGTGGGCCGTGAGACGGCACTCATAGAGGCCATGGCCCCACGTCAAATCCGGGCGCTTGATGAGTCGCCAAACCCCAAGTCCCAGAACCCTTCCGGGGTGGCCGGAGGCGCGAATCTGTAGCGATGGCGCGAGCCATTTTGGCACATCTGCCTGGAGGATTGTTGAAGCCCAGATGTGCGCGGCTGTGCAGCAACAGATTTCCCGCCTCCTGTGCAGACAGTGCACACAAAGCAACAGCATGAGCGGATGGGACAGAGTTCTTTCTGCGTGAATGGCGGACTCACCTTGAAAGGCATTTGCCTTTGGGGGGGCCAAACAGAGCGCCTGTCTCTTTTGGGCGATGCCAGCCACCAGCACAAGGCATCACGAACGCTGGCGAATTCAAAACGCATTCCACACAGTTTCCAATCTTGCTTGGACAGTGCTGAACTCTAGGGTATTAGCCATGTATGATCAATCATTATCATGTTTAACAGAGGAGAAATCGTGCAAAATAAACATGTTGAAAGCCCCATTTGTTGCCAGTGGAACAACATGGGACACAGCAACACTTTGATTAATGTATTGTACATCGTTCTACTTCACAGTGCACATGATGTGCTGTGTCTATGTGATAGCAATTCAAGCAGTGTGTGGTAGAAGCATGATTGGATGTGGGCAATGCCATGAAAGAACTGTCATCGCGCCCTCCAGGACATAACTGGAATACCTTGCTGCTTTGCAGCATGACTGCACACAGGCATGGCGTCTGGCACATGGCCCCAGCTGTCCAGTGCCTCGTAGAAGGACCGACACTCTGGGCACTCGAAGGCAGGCAGGGCCTCCCTGGCCGCCTTGGTCCTCACTACTTCAGCATACTTGTGACTCCGCTCACCGCCCTGCTCCACAATAGCCATGGTCAGGCCGGCCTGCAGCTTTGTCGCTCATTCACAACAAGAATCCATTGCCTCCATGTTTTGGCTTCAGGTTGGTAATCTGGGCTCATTTAGGGGATAAACCTCCTCAATGGGGATCGAATTGTGAATTGAATTAGATTGCAGCACAACCCAGATACAGAAGCCACTCAGTGGTGAACCTCATGGAATGTGATTGAAAACAACACTAACAACACTTTCTTGGTGTAGCACTTTGGTAAAAACAAGGACTCCTCTTTGCATGGCATAGCATGATGAACCCTTTCACTAGACCTGGTTCAGCAATCAGCACAACGCCAGAGAGCACATTGAACCAGAGTTTTTTTTTTGTGAACAGCAACAGGCCATCGCCAAGATCATCACTCTTGGTTCTCTATGATTTTCTGGACAGCGGGGGGCCTATGAATCTGGTGCAAAGTTCCCAGCAACCCAGCAGCACCAAACAGCAGCACCACAGGTCTCTTCTGCCAGCATGCCCTTGGCTGCTGCTGACTGGCATTGTTGTCAAAGAACGTGAATAACAACAGAGCACATGCCTGCCCACCCCATGGGCACAAGGTGATCTTGAATGCATGTTGTTGTGCTCATCAAGTGCCTACCGTGCTATCTGTTACAGAATCAGCAGAATGGCAGCTTGCCAGCTCTGAAAGGTATGCTCAATGTACTGCCCGGTTCCATTGGCAAGAACCAATATCACCCCAGTGATATTTACCTGTGCAGCTTCTGTCCTTGCTCCCACAGATACTGATGATGGGACGGAGACTGAAGATGGCCCTGGCTGCACCACCAGTGGCAGCTTTCCAGCAGTCGCACGGCCTTGGCTGAAACGACTTGTTATAAGCTTCTCTGGAGGCCTGCCAGCCAGCCCAGGAGCCACCTTCCCAGATCGCTGGAGGGCAGTTTCCCCAGCTCGGTCCCTCTCCACTTTGTCAGGAATCGGCAGACCTGATTCTGGGTGCGGTGAGGAGCAAGCATCCCCTCTTGGTGCCTCATCAACGATGTGGCGGTCTGCTGGATCTGGAGTTGGAGTGACTGGCTCTAACAGATCAATGACAGAGTGATCGCCAATGCACTGTGGTGGCTGTGCCCCATGTCTGGATGCATTCTCATCGGCTGCAGGGTACTTTGCGGACGCAGCTTTATCCCGATCTCCAGTTGCCGACTTCCTTTGCTCGTCATCGGGCAGGGCCACCTGCAGCGATGACCTGTCTTTTCCACAACGACCAGAATCGCTGCAACGATCAATGCCACCTGGGACCTGCACTGCCACACCAGCATCCCCAAGGCCGACTGCCTTTTCTGGCTGATTTCTGACAACCTCTGTCGAAACTTGGGGTTCCACTACTCTGCCAATCCTGGTGCGCACACCCCAGTCTTCCAAGGCCCCCCCGATTGATGTGCCCCGGGGCGGGCTCCGGCTGGCAGGCCAGCCTGTCGCGGAGCGTTTGACAGTGCGGCTTGACTCAGCTACAGGCTCATCCCTCAGCCGCTTCTCCCCAGCCCTAGGAGTGATGCTGCTTCTGTGTTGCTGCTGCCGAACTGACCTGTGACCCCAGTCTGAACCCTTGTTACTGGAATCAGCAACTTCCTGCTCCTCCCTGGACGCCCCCTTTGTGGGAAGGCGGGGCCCAGCTAGGCGATTGGGAGAGCCAACATTCGGGCGACTTTCAAAGGCATCTCTGGGGTCCTCTCTTCCAGATGCTCCCTGTCAGCAACATGACTGGGCTCAGGACGCACTGCACAGTTGCAAGAGGAAGAGAGACAGGCTCCTTACAACAATGTACTGCAATGAATGCAATGAATGCGTTTGACAATCCAAGCTATGTCTACTCGTGTTTGCAACATCCGTAGCAAAACTGTTAGCCTTGTTCAGCAATGCAGTGTTCCATGCTAGCCCTTGGTCAGCAACCTGAAAAGGAAATCTCTTCAAATCCACTGTTATGTGTCAAATGTAACCAAGCCAACTTCTTCAACCCAAATGGCAAAGGCCATTCACACACAAAGTTGTGCAAGTCATTCAGAGGCCAGAGCAGAGCAATACATGCCGCTGGCTTCTGGCCAACTTGTCTCGATGGAGGCCTGCAACGCACTACTGGGTACACAAAACAAAAAATCAATGGCTGCAGCTTGCATGTGATAAGGAGTATCTGCAATCAAATGCAGACACCCACCTGTCTACGCGAGTTGGACCTGTCCATGAGCTGCTTGCGAAGGTTGGCATTGACAGCAATCCGGGCGTTCAGCTCATCCAGGTACATAGTGCCTCGGTACTTCTCAATAGCTATCTTTTTCTGCAGCTCCTTATTCTCTTTCTGCAGTGATGCACGTTCTGCAGCGTGTTCATTTTGGGCAGCCTTGATTTCTGCCTCTAGGGCGATGCTCCTGTCGTGCAGAGATTTAATTTTCGTGGCAGAATCCCTGAGCTTCTCCTTGGTGTTTCCCAGCTCCGTTATCGCCTCTGCGTAAGCTCCCTCCACCCTCCCGAGTCTGATGTTGAGCTCCTCGTTCTGCCTCTTGAGGGCCAACTGCTCTTCAGAACTGCTCACATCATGTGCCCCATTGGGCTGAGATTGTCAGCTGTGTGATTGATTGAATTGAAGTTTTTTTCAAACAAGTTTCTAGCAAAACTCGAATTCTCAGTGCCTGCAATGTCGATTCCAGGGGTCTGGTACATTGTGGTTCAACTCGTGACCAATCACCAGTTGTCTAGCGTGATGGCATCTAGGCATCGTTCCGAAAACTGTTGCTGGGCAGTGCCAGGTTGTGCCACTTCTAAAACCACCTCATTGCTGAACATCGCAATGCGCGCAGAAACTCTTTGCTCATTATCGTGTCAAGAATGCAACTGTGGCTTGCTGCCGGCTCCAGGGAATGTCCTCGAATCAAAGTACACAGCTTTGACATGCATAAGTAGGCAGATCGCGATCACTCTCCAGGTTCTTGCAGTTGTGAGCGAACAAGCCCATGCTTGCAAAGGTATGCACCAGATCGTCTGCCAGCCCATATCTTCCTCACACGAGGGGCAGGCACCGTGTATGATTTTGGCAGAAGGTATGTTTCGTAGACGCTACAGGCCCGCCAAAAGTATCTGCCTTGCATCTGGGGCATGCCCATTAATGGCTGCTGCCTTCCTGCATTCGTGTTGCAGCAAGGATGCAGCCAAAGTCCAGGAGGCCGGTTCATGGGTGACCCTTCCAGAAGAAAGGAACACGAGACACATGATGAGCAGCTCTCTCCGGAGCAAGAATTTTTGATGGACAATTTTTCATACCAGAGGAGATGGTGTAGAATTGTCCCAGAAAAGCAGGAGCACCAAGCAACACAGGCCAGCAACATCGGCCTCAGGCCTCGTCTGAACCGCTATTCGCGCTCCGTGTACATGTTTTCATCGCGTTTGTCGAACAGTGGCAAGGCACAGCCCTTGCGACTGCAACGGGATGCCGGGCACTTGGGATGTCTAGAACGCACTCTCAGCGAACGTCTAAGTTCGCGTGAGTCCAGTTCGTGCCCTGTGCCAGCAGGCAGCGCAAAGAGCCATGAGCCTTCGCGGCAAAACACAACACCATGCTGTGGACGCGAACGCGCCCCACGGTGACTGCAAGTCCCCAGGCCACCGCCACAGGGGGAAGCGCAATCGCAGATGATTCCCACCCCGTTCTAACATCCCACTCTCCCGCTCTCCCGCACAGGCCACATCGCGCCTCGCCGATCGCCCCCTCCCCTCTTCTGAACTCACTGTTTTCGCTCGATCGCGGCAATGACGTCGCTGTGGGCCCTCCTCGCGCGCTCCTGCAGCGAACGGACGGAGTCCCTCCAATCGCTCAGGGCCTGGTCGAAGGGCTCCCCCATTCCCCCCCACCGGGCCCTCGCCCGCCTGTCCCTGTCACACAACGGCGCCGCCTGCCGACTGAGCCACTCTCAAGCGCGCCACCCGCGAGGCGCCGGTGGGGGCCGGGGAAGGTCGAGCAAACGACTCTGGACACCGCCCCAGTTTGCCCCTTCTTCACTGGGACAGTGATGTTCCGTGTGTTTTTTGCCTCTCATTTGCGCGCTCCTGTCCTCAATTTGTTCATTACATTGATGAATGCAGGCAACGGTTTACAGCTGAACAAAGGGACAACAGGGATTCTCTCCTCATATCCGGTCCGTTCATCAGTGTGCTCTGATTCAGTCCCTATTGTCTCAACACCTGTTAATCGACCTTGGCCTGTGGACTTGCCCGAGCTGTGTGGGTCGTCATGAGGCGCATCATCGCCGGCGATGTACTCTGCGCTGTGTTGGAAGGCAGGATGTCCAGCGACACCCCAGGGCAACGAATAGCTGCATTGCCACAGAATCACCACAAGTGGGCGCGGACTGAGAATCACTCAAGAAGGGCGCGCACAAAGCGCAGGTCCGTTTGTGACGAACACGAGGTTGCTGTGGCCTATCGTTGATGCACCATGGACCAATGCAGCGGCAATGCTCATATGGCAACATTCATCTCAACAGGCAGCGACACCAAGGCCTACTGAATCGCCGGGCGCCCATTGCTGAGTTGTTGTCCAGCAGGGCATTAGTGGCTTTTTTGCGTCATGGGAAGTGATTGCTGCTTGATGACAATGCGAAAGTCTATTCTTCCAAAGTGCAATGAGTAGATGCTGTTCCCTCTGTCCAACAACAAAACTTTCAAAGCGCCAACCACCTGGTGGCAAAACTTCGGGCTGACGCATACAAGAAGACTGGGGGCGTTTCTACCTCGCGTTCAAACGATCCCGGCAATGCGATGTAACGCACTATCATTTTCTTGGCATGACGCAAACTGACAACACTCGTGTCCAGGGCTGGCAATCGCGATGCTATTTACAACATTCACGGCGATTTGCAGCGCCCAGACCAGTTGGAATATCATCACAATCTGGGGGATTCGCTGTGGGGGGACCATCATGCCCGGGCGACCTACCGGTAGAGCTGCCAGTAGGTAGCTCTACATACAGCTTCCACAGTACAGTGCCCGTCATCATTGCGCGATCAAAAAGGAACAACCTGAACGGCGATATCCGGAAGAGCCTGCCCCCCAGGCAGGTTTCCGTAGGACGAAGCGGAAGTCGTGTCCCCCCAAGAGACAAGCACTCCTCCTGGATGAGCAGCGCAAAGTTCATTAACATTGCCCAGCCAGAGGGAGTTATATCTTTATGCAGATATTCAACAATTCAAAAACTTAGAAATCCCTTGTGGGTAGCCCGTGGGCCGGGCTGCCCCACAGGAGCGCCATGCGTGCAACACGTGGGGCTCCGTCCTAGAAACCTAATACTACGTATTATTATGAGTCATGTTATAGCTATAGTTTAGTATGTTGTGCTAAATATACTGTATAATTTTGAGCACTGCATTGTGAGCTATAGCTGACAATGTACGCAATGTACGTATGGACTGCCTGGATCGGCTCGGGCTGGGTGGACGCCAATGTATACCGGCGTGTTCGACGGATGAATACTTGCAACAGCGCATAACTCAAAGTAGGGTGGCACCGGTGCGGCGCCATCAGTACGCCGGCACCGTATCCACGTTACTCGCCATCGCTTTGTTGCGGCGACCCTTGTCGTTGCTGACAAGCACACTCAAAAGGCTCATATTGTCAACCAGCTGGAGGCCAACTCAGGCTAACGCATATAAGAAGACTGGAGGCGTTTCCATGGCATGTTTAAGCGAGGCCCACAATACCATGCAATGCACCATCATCTCGGAGCATGACGCAAACTGACATCATTCATGTCCAGGGCTGGCAGTCGCGATGCTATTTGCAACATGCATGGCGATGTGCAGCGCCCAGATTAGTTGCAATATCATCCAATCTGGGGGATCTACAGCAGGGGTGCGATCACGCCCGGGTGACCTATTGTTAGCTACCTACAAGTCCCACGGTACAATGCTGATCGTCATTGCACGATCAACAAGGTGCAGGCCGAAAGCACTAGGAAAAAAAGGGCCAAATAACACGTGTTCAAACGTGTACAAAGTTTACGGGTTTGTGTTATTCTTGTGTTCTCAGCGTGTAGAACTTTGATGAAATGTGTTTTATGTGTGTTCGCAAAAGTGCTATTTGGCCCTTTTTTTCCTAGTGAAGGGGACATCCTTCCCCCCTCCCCGGGTGCTGCAGCGTGAAGAAGAGGTCATGGCGGCCCTAGAGACAAGCACCACTGAAAATGTACAGGTGTGGCGCCATCAATATGTCGGCATTGTCGCTACGTTGCCCGCCATCGCTTTGTTGTAGTGACCCTTGCCGTTGGTGACAAGCGCACTCATGAGGATCGCAGTGAGGTAGTGGCGACCTTGCTGACAATGCCAGCAGCAAAGGCGATGGATATGCCCTACACCGGACCACCAGGCATGTCTCGTTCATGCCAAGACTTGGCTGTCTTGCGATTCACGGATACCGCTGAACTCGGCCTGTAGAGTGCGGTGTTCGCTTCTGAAAAGTTTTTGCACGGGTCTGCTGGTGGGGATTCATCGCAGATCAACGGCGTGGGGTCACCAGTAGAAAACAGCCTGTTTGCGACGCCGACTGCGATGCCATGTTGACACAAATTGAATACATCACAGCCCCTTCTATGGCATCGCACTCACTGTGACGGCATCAATTTGTGTCAAAAGAGCATCGCAGCTGGCATCGCAAACAGGCTGTTTTTTACCAGTGGGTCCAATTGCACAATTGCTTTGACCATGCACTCAACAGCGCGATGCGCTCACCAGCGCGCCTGGGAATTGCTGGTCGAACTGTGTTCGACTCGCAAAGAGTTGTTGTTCATTTTCTGATGCTCCGAGCTGCGGCAGATTGACAGCTGTGAGTGACAGATATCTGCGGGGCGGCGAGGAAGGCGCCACATGATGTTCATACAACATCGGCGACAAGCCAATAGTTGCAACTGGCTACTCTTCTTTGCACTTTCCGTGGTTTCGCCAACACAGCACGCAACTGATGTCGATTTCTGCGAACAAATCAGTTTTAGGCAGGAAACTTGTACTTCAGAAGATAAATACGTATCCCAACGTCCCTCTATATCTCCCAGCAACATTGATCTCAATCTCTTGCCTCGGAGGCTTATTTCCACATGGTCAGGGGACCATCCCACCGATCCCAGCCACAAATTGCAGGTACATGGTACCTGCTCACAGATTCAAACCTCTCTCCCTACAAGTCACTAAAACTGACAAACCATCTTGTTTGAGCTTCTGACCGTGTTTCCGACTGTCGTGCCCCAGGGAGCCTGTGCTCAGCACTCGTTCTTGGGGTTCTTCTTGCAAGTCTTCCCCAGGTTCTTCGCCGCGGGCTTGTGGCCGCAGTGTTTCGCACCAAATTCCAACACTGCGACGGAGCATGACAACTACTTCATTGATGTGCTCAACAAAAACGACACACACGTTACCAGGCTGTGATAGCTGTTTCAAATTTTTGCATTATTAGTAAGCCTGCCGGCCATTAGTTAACCCGCTCTCTCTTGTTTGTAGTGGTAGTGGGCAGAGGTGAAAGAGCAGCGCTTTGTCATGTGTTGAAAAATGTGACTTGGTAGGATACTAGCGTTTACGGTGCTGCGCTGAGCTCGCCCCCAAAATTGGTGATTTATGCTGCCAATGCCCTCGGTCTGATATACTGGAGATTAGCCAGCCCCTGAGCCAACTGGCCCCAGCAACATCGACTTCTTGGCAAATCATGGAACAGAGATGCACCGCAGTGTGCAGTACACAACGTTTACAGGCAATGGCGATTGTTCCAAAAGTTAAGACCTGATAGAAATCCCGCTTGTCTCGCAGTGGTGTATTCATGATATAAGCTAACGGAGGAGGATTTGCAAACCGCAATCCATCATGCCGCAGGCATGGCCATGTGGCTCGCGAAAATTTGGAGTGGTGCAATGCATGAAGTTTTGAGCCATTCAGGGAACAGCGTATTCCCCGCGATTACGAATCTGCAAGCCAAACTCACTCTGAAGGAAGAACTTGCCGTCATCCGAAAACAGGGTCTGGGTAATCGCTGTGTATGTGTCGTCGTCGCACATGCATTTCTGCAGGAAGCCAAAGAAACATATGAGAAGCGCCGCACCCTCCTGAACAATGGCCCGCTGACTGCGACCCAGCAATCATTGACGTGCCACAGACGTTGGAAACGATTTATGCATTACGCAGCTCAGAACAGCGCCGCGTTCGACATCGTATGCAAAGCGAAATGTGCGCAAAGCTGGCGTGGCGAAATCATGAGAATCTGCACGGAAGGCAGAATGTGGGTCAACTTACGCTCTGGGCGAGGTCGCACAGCGCCTTGCAGCACCTGCAATGGACAAACAGACCCCGCCATCAGATTTCGTCAAAAGGTCGGATACAGTAAATCTGGCGAGGCGGCGTCCAAATGAAAGGCAAAACCCGGCACCTCCGGCCCCAGTTGGTGTGAAACACATTCCATTTACGGCTGCCGTTTCTGCATGCTAAATCCCACCCACGCAACCTGTGTATCCCAATTATTCAAGATACCAATGTTTTGTAGCAGCAATTGCATTCAAGGATCTGTTCACTTGAATTTCAGCCACTTTGCGACGCAACATTGTTGGCATTGTGCTGGCGATGGTCTGTGCTTTTCTCAAATACAACAGGGAGCTTGCGCCTGCATTCTAACTAAACATGCAGCATTCTAGAATGTACTCACGGAAGAGCTCAATTGTAAACGTAATTGCCGCGAAGCCTGGCAGCAGATTCGCTCACCATCTCCATGCACAAATCCCTCGAACATTCGCATATATTGAACACATATATCGAACAGAACGACGATCCCCACCCCCCACCCCCCCTCTGCACATTGATGCCCCACACGCTAAATCATCTTGACGGCCAAACACGCTTCTTATGAGAAATTGCTAATTACGAATGAAGTGGCTGTGGGTGTTCCTCCAGCGATGCATTTCGTCCCGCACTGCAGGTAAGAGTGGTTCAATTGGCTGCGATATTGTTCTTCCTCTGCTTCAGGATTCTGAGGAGCTGGGGAGGAGGGTGCTCACCCATCGGCAACGGAGTCTATCTGCTTGAAATACTTCTTGGCCTTCTTGGTGTCCACATCCAGAGCTTCGAGGGGGGGCCATTCGAACTCAAGGGCTTCGCCAGCGGCTGTGAAGTCGTCCGTGCAATTTGTAGCGAACCATATGACGTTGTCCTTGCATTCCTCGGCCACACCCGAAATCACGTCGATCAGGACCTGGCCATTTGAGAGACCTGCGGGGGAAGAGCGTGCGTCAGCGTGATTCGATTTCATGTGCCAAGAGTTGACCAAGCACTGCGCTGGTTGTAAGCTGAAGCAAAATGTGGGGTGAGTAATGCAAATTTGGTCCATTTTTAGCGCACCTTCCCATGCAAATACTTCGAGTTGCAAGATTTTCAGCGGCAGTCAGCGATTTAAATGCGGAATAGAATTGTACAGGTTCGGCAACATTTTGCAAGAGATCCTCTTGCAACGTGCCAAGACGACCAAGATGCACAGCTTTTCCTTCAGCGAGTTTTCACATCTCCTCCCAACCTGGAAGGTATGCGTATTTGAGCCATTCAAACCATCACCAGGTGAGGACAACGAAATACTTGCAGAGGTCGTTCTCATTGTGTTGGTAGATGCGCTGGACCATAACCACTGCACGCATTTGAACAAGTCACCAGACTCCAGTGAAGACTCTTTCTCACATACGTGCTGACCGATTGATCGCTCAACCAATCAACCACCTCACGTCGAAAGCCTTATGTGGTTTGGCTGGGGCTGCAGTACGGTTTTCGGGTACGACGAACGGTCTGGTCGGCACCGCCTCTCACGGGGTTCTGCACAGCTGCCCCGGTCTCAGCCAGCGGCTGAGGTACGACGATTGGAGGTGACGGGAGGACGGATCACCCGCCAGACGTCAAAGTGACACTGATTGGGGTTGGCGATGAGGACCCTCAGCTGGCATAATGCGATGGACTGCGCAACCGGGGAACGGTTGGGGAACTGCAGTCCCTGCGGAACGGCGGGCGGGCCACTATGCTTGCCCAAGGAAGCACCGAAAGGCCAGAAGGTGAATCCCCGAGGCGATTTTGCCGACCCAAGGTTGAGGGGCGAATACCAGTGAAGGGAAAAGGAAGAAGCACACAGTCCAAAAGTGGCCGCTCTGGACGTTTGAGAACATGTCGAGACCACGTTTGAGACCGTGATTGGGCACCCACGGGCGTTTGCCAACCCATGCGCGTCATGGACCGCCCCTCGATCATCACTGAACGCGAGGCCGCGTTGCGTCTTTTGGGCCTCCGCGCGCTGCTCGAGTCATTCGACACAATCTTACCCCCCCCCCATGTTACTCTTGCAAGTCGGCGGATCAGCAACCCCTCGCTCGCAAACGCCACACCCTGCAGGGGCCACGCCATTCGGTGCGACATCCGCCCCGCCCGGCGCGCTACGACCCAGCCCACCTCACCGGCCCGCGTTGCCCTGCGCGGCACCTGCCGGCAACCGCATCTGCGGCGCGCCGGGCCGCCCGCTGTCGCAATTCACTGCGATCGATTCGACTGGCGCCGTCGATTCTGCAATTTCAAAACGCGCAAGGCGCCACAAGCTGACCCCGTCCCGGTGGCCATCCAAGCAGCGGCAGGGATCACCAGTACTGGTCCGGTACTAGTACCGGAAGTCTCACCTGCCAAGCCCGCGAAGGCAACCACCGCCAGGAACACTGCAACCGTGGATGCGCGCGCCATGCCTGGCCTGGAACGACTCCGGTGCCCTCCGAGGCAATCGGCTTGCGGTGGGGGATGAGACAAAGGGGAGGCAGCACTGTGAGCGGGACCACCTCGGTTTTGTGAGCGCCCGCTGGCCCAGCCGTGATGTGCCACTTGTCCGTGAATGCTTGCCGAGGCTCTTGTGGGCGCGATGTGACCCGCGCGGGTTGGAGCGGATGGGCCTGGTGTCGATGGGACGTGTCCGCGATCGACATGGCTGCGGGAACCGATTGGATCGGATCCCAACCCCATCCCATGTCACCCAGCGCCAAAGCCGTAATGTTCTGGGAGTCCTGGACCAAGACTCAGGGTACTTTCTGGACGGATTCGACAAGCGTTTAAAGAAAAGTTTATGCGATTTTTTGTTAACCAAAAATGGTCTAGGGGAACCCACCACTTCAGCAATCATTACTGAGGTTGCATGGTCGTATCTCCGGGCATTCAGTCAATCTTATGGTTGACATTCAGTGTAAATGCTTCATCAATGCAATGGGATTATGACAAGGGAGGGCCGCTCTGGAGTGTTCAGGGAGCAGATGTGCCCCTGAAGACAACCACCGCATGTTTCGGCAGTGCCATGCCATTTTCCCCTGAGGCCCTGTCCCAGGAGAATAGAGTTCCGGCCCCAGCAGGGGGAATTACGGGACCACGTCCCGTCAGTCAGGATGGCCGTGGTCCTCCCCATGAGGCGAGAATTGGCGCGCAGGAGACACTGACAATCGCCGGCCCTGTGCCGGAGCGTCGCTCATGCGCAGCTGACCCAGGCCCGCTTGCCGCCCCGCCCCCACCCCGGATGTCCAAATCGACTGGTGGCCTGCGATTGGAGGCGTTGCCAAGCATGGATCGAGCGGGCATCTTTGCTGCTACGGTGCTGGCGGTCGCGGCGCTGTGGGTGATCGGTGAGCGCACGGCGCAGCGCAAATGTCACCAACTCGGGGCTTGACTACAGTGCCACGGGAGATGCGCACCCTTGATTCGCATCACGCGTGCGGCTCTCTGTGCGCTTCCGCAATCCAACCCTAGCTAGGGCGCCGTGGCGAAGTTGAGTGTCCATGGCGCAAATTGACCGTTGCTGCGCTGCGTCTACGGAACGTTCCCATGCAGAGCGCATGAGGCGCACGTAGCGGCGACGGGGCGCTCCGCCACGCGGCTTCCAGAGTCTTTGTGCTATTGGGCGCATGTGTGGGGCTGGCCTCCGCGTTGCGGTTTGCTGCGCGCCGGCTGCCGTGCGGTCTGATTATCGATCCGCTGCTCACTTCGCCTGTGGTGGGGCCGGGTGCACGGGGAACGACGGGTGCATCTTGGATTCGCGGGAAGCGAAGGCGTTTGGGGAAATCGAGGCGTGGCGCCGCTCAGCCGGAAGGGCAATGCAAGCATGAGCGCGGTCTGGCGGATTCGCCGCACGCATCAATGCGGGCCACATTGTTGCGGCCTGTGCACCCGGGCGGAACGGTCACTAGCTTTGGGAGTCCAGCCGTCGGCAGACATTTGCAAATGGGTTTGCATATGCAGCGTCAGAGCGTCCCATAATGAAAGGGCGCTGTCATGTGCCCACTCCCGATTGAATCCATTGGTCGTGGTCGTTGATGGAAGCTGGGCACGCAAATAGACCTTCACGCACAGAAGCGGTGTTTTCATGTTGAACGCAATAACTCATGCATATGTAACCGGGGTGGTGATTCCATTTTGGTTGCTTTTCAATGAGGAAAACCGAGGGAAATGGCATATTTAAGGCGCAAATGGATTGGGATTTGAAAGCCAAAACAGGGATGTATTTAAGACCATAACAAATACCATTGAAACTGGTGCCAAACTGCCGCCATACCAATACAATTGAAAACGACACCAAATAATATTGAATGTGGTACCAAACTGCCAATGTACCAAAAAAATGAAACTGGTACCAACGCATATTGAATCTGATACCAAATTTGTGCCGGTACCAAAACTGTTGAATGGTGCATCAAAAACTGTTGAACCAGTACCAATTAGTCATCAAGTCGTCGCCACGATACAAGGCTCATAAATCGTGCGTTTTGGTGAAGGAGGCACACTCTCCAAGGGTGGCTTGCCCATCGCCGGCCTGTTTGTTGTCCGATCAGCAACAATGACCATCGATTTAGCGATCGATCGAATCGGTGGTTGATCTAGTCGACAATTGATCGATAGCCATGGACGTTGGCACTATGGATCGAGTACAAAAGGGGCCTCCAATTATGCTTTGTGCCCCACAAGAAGTACCCGCAAACAATGAGAATCAGGAAGGATTTAAAACCAGGCAAAAGCAACAATATTAGAAGGGACCTGCAGCCAATGGAGATTAACAACATCAGGAGGCATCTGCAGCCAATGGATATCAGGAGGGGCAAGGTAATGAAGAAGAAGATCTCGTTGATTTGGATTCAAAACATAAAGGAAGTTCCACAATTGGGAACTTATAAAAGAGTTTGTGGATACCAAGACATTTGATTCTTGGTTTGTTGCCCATCACAACCACAACCCAATGGTGAAGGGAACATATATGTGGGATAATTTGTGGAGCCTCTAATGTATAGGTGCAAACCTGTGTAACATGGCTGCCTTCATTTGTTGTGAGCTGAGTTCCACCATGAGGAATAGGGTGTGGATGTGCTCTAGAACAGGAACAAACACTTGCATAGTTGTGAACTTACAAGTGGGGCCTGGCCTGGACTGAATCCAAAAGCAAGACACTATCAACAATCTGTCAGGTGTTGTGCAAGCCTTGAATGATGGCCAGAAAGCTAGCTAGACCAGAGGGAAGTCGCACAATACTAGGCATGTTGTACCAATAAAGATGCAATTGAGTAACTTCATCGCATACTTGCAAAGCAAAGAGATTGGGGGACACATATGGGTCCAATGCATTGGGTAGTACATGACTACCAACCTCTAGGAGTGAGTCACTCTAAATACTGCAATGCCCACTGACCGGGACACCCCTTTTGTGATTGGGCATGAGATTAGCACAGGTATAACAAGGACGGAAATGAAGTGAAGATTGGGGTGGCCCTCTACGCTTTTCGCCTCATTAGGCTCTTTTTCCTTTATGGCCCAAGGAGTTGCTTGCATCTGGATACCACATACAAGCCGATATGCAAGGACATCTTGTTGTGGTAGCTGGATTGAGAGACCGCAACCATTGCTTTAAGCCATTAACCCTTGCAGTTATCTCAAGCGAAAATGTAGAATCCTTGGATTTTGTGCAGAACTCTGATAGGTTATTGCCACAAACTAATAGGCATCAGCTATGACTAAGTTTTGTGGTTGGCAATGGGTCAAAAGGCGGTCACATGTGTAGTCAAAAATATGTTTAGTGAACATTGCCCAAGACCAATGTGTTGGGCACATGTGCACCTTATTGTGGATATCAATTGAAATAATTGAAGGCGAAAAAGTTGGCAGAATTTATGTTTGCTGAATTGGAACTCAACCAACTCTGCAATGATGGGTGGGATTTCATT